ATCATAATGCTCTCATACAAAACTATGGTGCAACCACGTCTGGAATACTGCATCCAGTTCTGGTTGCCTCACCTCAAAAAGGATATTGTAGAGTTGGGAAAGGTTCAGAAAAGGGCAACCAGAATGATCGAGGGAATGGAGAAACTCACCTTTGAGGAAAAGTGGCCACAGCATTGTGGAAAGGCTTTTCAATTTAGGGAAAAGATGAATAAGAGGCAACATTAAAAAGGGTATAAAATTATACATGGTTTGGAGAAAGTAGGTAAAGTTTTTCTCCCTTGTGGATATCCAGTGAAGCTGAATGTTGGAAAGTTCAGCACAGGCAAAAAAAAATACTTATTCATGAAGCGCCTAGTTAAACTTGGAATTTGCTCCCAAAAGAGGCACTGATGGCCACCAACCTAGATGGCTTTCAAAGAGGATTAGGTAACATTCATCCTGCATTTGTTCCGATTTGCTTGTGGGGTGTTTACACATCTTCCCTTTAACCATTTGTTCATTCCACACTTTTCAATGCATTTCCTAACCACAAAAAGTCAATTTCCTTTTAAAAGTGGAATTGTTGCACTAGGTAACAGAGCACTTAAACTGTGCAAACTTAACTTTTTTGGTAGGCATTTGAATCCCTCCAGCACAAAAAAATCTGACAATCCTGGAGGTGCCACCAAGTCATGAAGAAAGCCAGCGATTGATAGCAATCAGCACATCTTTGTGAAGATACACAACAACTAAAGGCCTACTAAAGCAGTTTCCAGCTCCACCGATTTTCTCCTGCACAGCTTTCCTTCAGTCTTACAGCGATAGTATCAGTGCTTGTTTTATTCTGGTGGGTTTTTGACATCACCATTAGCCCAGAGGCATTAGGATTTGTGATGTATAAGATGGACTATTGCTTCTCAAGGATGCACCAACACTTATGCATTCCTAAGATTATGGTGTAGCCACCTAGAAAGAGCACATGTCTTCATTCCATTGCTGCCTGCACCCGATGCCTTGGAGGTTGTCAACTGAAGACACCCTGGATTCATCTTCAGGGCTGAGAAAGAACACGGGAGATGAGTCAAGGTATATTGTGCCTCAGCCGCATAAAGCTTTATAAATCTAAATCTGCACTTTGAATTGTGCTCAAAATGTATATGGGAAGCCAATGCAGAAGCTGGAGCAATGATGTAATACGATCCAAGCTGAAGCTTCCAAGGACCTTCAAGAGCAGCCTGATAGTGGCCTCCAGGCGATGAGTGGAGGACATCACCACAAGGTGTCCCACATGGGACAAATAAAACAACAAACATGCATTTTTTCATCTTTCTCATGGGAGTAAAGTGCTCCTGCCCTGTGCTGGAACCTGGAATTCCAGGGGAAGAGCTACAGCTCAGTAAAGGGAAAGGTCTTAGGTTTAATCCCTGGCATTTGCAGGATGTGCTGGGACAAACTCCCTGTCTGAAACCCTAGTGAGATGCTGCCAGTCTGTGTCGACAGTACTGAGCTAGATAGACAGTTTCCTATGCTTAGGAGTGCTCTGCTATGAGGTTGAGTGGCAGGGAGAAACTTTCCTCCTTCAAAATCACATGTGCAAACTGTCACCTTCCCCACCTTTCCTTACTTCTCTCTTGCTTGCACTCAGCTCCAGAGTATGTAGAACCATAGAATTGTAGAGTTTGAAGGAACCCCTCAGTGATTCTAGTCCAAACCCCCTGCAATGCAGGAATCTGCAGCTGTCCCATACGGGAATCAGACTTGTAACCTTGCAATCTCCATTCTGAGGCTTTGGCTACTACCCAGAGCTGTGAGTAGTGGAAGCACGAGTGGCTCCAAGCCCTTCTGCAAGAATGTCTCTGAAGTGAGAATGAATGCATTTCTTCTGCCCGGGTTCCGTGCAGCTCAGGCAACGCTCTGCAGAGATGCGAATGGCTGATTTGGGTGGTTTTTTTTTTAGTTATTATTATTCAAAAATGCATACTTTGATCTCTCTCGGAACTCCCCCCCCTTACATTTAAAACTGCTTTCGGTACGTCCAAAGCTCCCTCAAGAGGAGCTCCGCACACATCTCCCCCCCCCCAGCAATGCCCCGGCGGGCTCTTTTTTTGCAATGTCACCGGGAGGAGAATGCAGGTGCAACTCCGGGCAACCGCTGCACGTGATCCCCGAGCGGCGCTCCGCCGTGGCCGAGGGTCCCGTGTGTGTGTTGGGGGGTGGGGGCGCAGGTCCGACCACCTTTCCTTTCCCCAAAAAACACCCCGTCGGTCGAAGCAGCCTCGTTCCCCAACTTCAGCAGTTTTCCCTCGCACGTGCGAGGCCGTTCCCCGGAGAGGGAGGAGAGTCAAAAGGAAAAAAAAACCCACCGCCCTCTTCCATTTTAGGTGGTGCGTCCGCCCCCCCCCCCCCCGCTCCGCCAACCCACCTCAGCCCGTTTCCTGAGCCGCTGGTAAGTCTCCCCAGGAACGTTGATGGGCCCAAACTTTCCGGCCCGCGCGCGGCTCCAGAAGCCCGCCCTTTTTTTTTTGGCGCGCGCGAAAACGAGCGTCGCTCGCCGGTTCCCCCTCAGGCGCCTGAGGCCGAGCGGGCCGGGCGCTTCCCCTCCTCCTCCTCCCCACCTTCCCGCCGCCCCACCCGGGGCAGCCCGAGCCAGGCTGGCGGGGGCGGCGGCGAGTGCGTGTGGCGCGGCCAAAGGCAAGCTGCCGCCGCTGCCGTTTCTCCTCCTCCTCCTCCTCCACCACCACCGTCGCCTCGTCGTCGTCGTCCTCCGGCGCCGCAGGAGCTCGGCGGGGCCGCCAGGCTGCGCTCTCGGGCCGGCTGCGAGCCTGGCTGCGTCCCCGGGCTGCCGGGGCTCCGGAGCGCCAGAGCCTCCCGGGGAGCAGGCGGTGGTGCGAGAGCGGGCGGGCGGTCCCGGGACAGCGGCGGAGGCGGCGGCGGCGGCAGCTGCTGCAGCGGGAGGAGCCGGAGCGGCTCGCTGCTGCAGCGGGAGCCGCCCCGGCTCGGAGCTCCGCTTGGCCGGGCTGCGGAGCGGCGAGGCACCTGGAGCCCCTCGGGGGGCGCCCGCTAGGCGAGCTGCCTGCCAGCCGAGGAAGCGCCGTCGGCCGCTGACCGAGGTGCCCTCGCCAGCTGCTCTCCCCGCGCCCGGCATGACTTGCAAGGGCTCGTCGGGCTGGGGGCTTTGGGTGGCCCCTTTGGCGGCGCTGCTGTCTCTGAGAGGTAAGCGGGGGTGCCTGGACGGGGCGGGCGGGCGGGGGGGGAAGAAAAGCATGCAGCCTCCTTCCTCCCTTCCCTGCTCTGAATTCGAACTCGCAACTTTGGTGCTGCGGGGGTCGGGCGGAGCGACGGCGTCAGGAGCCCCAGCCCAGGAGCCGGGCGCTTCTCGGGGAAGGCGGCTTTTTTATTTTGCTGAACCAAGCAAGTTGCTGTAAAGTCCCGGAGAGTGAGGAGTAAGTGTGCGAGGAGGGTTTCGTCCTCCTTAGCAGTGCCGCCTTAAGCGCCTCGATGCTTTTGCAGAATAATCAGAACCGCTCCCCTTGCCCTGCTTGTTTCTCCTCTGCAGAGCCTTGAAAGGGAGAATAATGTATACGGATTTTAAAAGGGGGTTTTGTGTGTGTGTGTGTGTGTGTGTGTGAGAGAGAGAGAGAGAGAGAGAGAGAGAGAGAGACAAAGTCCGCTCTGATCCAGCGACCTTTCAAGGGACTGTAGCTGTAGAAGTGGTTTTATTATAAGGAGCTGGGAAAGCCGTTACTTTCTCCTGTAATGTTTCTCTTCCTCTCTTTTTGTAATGCAGAGGTATAAAGGTTGGCTGAGAGCTTATTTCCACCCTCCGTGGATAGGGTGTGTTTTCTGTTTCGTTTTAAGAAGCGTGTTGGGCTGATTGCTTATGTACAAAATAGTGTTTTTTGTGAAACACACACAAGCAAAATAACAGTACTGTAATCAATATTAAAGCGTAGTTTTACTGTGTCTCTTTTTTAAAAAAGGGGGTTATAATCCAGAGGTCCACTTTCCCAGTTGTGTAGAACATGCAGTAATCTTTAAAAACCAAGCAATGCTCCCCACAGCCTTAGTCACTTCATTATTCTGCACTACAGATACTTCATTTTTAGTGCTTCTTTCTTAATTCTGGACTTCACTGTGGCGAAGTTCCTTTAATTTTCAAGGTATTGACTTGAACACTGGTTCTTCTGAAAGCATGCGGGGAAGTTTGTTTTAGGAGAACTTTCTTGTTCAGAAGGACAGGAGCACTGAAAAGTGTATAAAGCCCTCTCAGGCAGCCCAAACCAACATGCTACGGAATTTAAGTTCAGTTGGGGTTATTCCCAAATAAGACTGTAGCCCAGGATACCTGCATTTGATCTGATTTGATAGTTTATCCAGATTATTTACTGCTTTTATGCTAATTGTTTCTGTTTTAATACAACAAAATAGTCTCTGAAACACACATTCAAAAACAGTTTTTATACGATAGTAGAGTAACTATTTCTGTGTAATCTGTTTCAACTGTAAGTACTTGGATATTTTAATCCTAGTGTCAAAACTTAAAAAAATAAGTTTTGGTCTGTTAATTATGGGTAGCAATTCTTGTACTCTGATGAGATAGAAAAGATTAAGTGTCTCTGACCGTTTGTTCTATTTTTTTTTAACACAGTTGAAGTCATTGGGGTCAGAAATGTGAATCATGAATACCTCACTAAGATGTGCTAACAGATTTGTTTTAGCAATATTAACATTTGTGTGTGACAAAACGATGCGTTTCACTTTGGATAGGAGGTATCATTTCCATAGAGTTGAACTGTGCATGGATTGAACTCTAAACATACTTGGAAACAACTAAATGATTTGAATGGGAGTTCCTTGCAGGTGATCATGCTTAGGATCAGGGTGTGATACTTACTGTTGTGCAGTTTACAAATGCAGGGAAGAACTGGGAGTCACAGAGTTACCTACATTTCAACACTATCTCATGCCAACTGTTTACTGATGGGAGTTAAGAATTGTTTGTTTTTCTTTTTAGAACTTTACAGGAATGCAGGGATCAGTTTTGCTATTGTACTGGTTTGACTACATGCAACTATTAAGTAAGAGTCGCCATGCTCATAGTTAATGTGTGAAGTGCTGAACTTTTACCACTCCTTGATACTTTTAGTGATTTAAAAGGAAGAGACGCATCTTACTGTGGTGTAGTTTTCCAAGTCACATTGTGGGTATTTTAGTAAGCAAGGTATTTGTGACTCTAGTTTCTCCTCTTCTTCTTGGATTATGTGATTTGGTTACCACAGCATGTGGTGCGTTGGCAGGGGACTGTTGTGCTGCTGAAGCTTGAGAGTGAAGGACTCAGACCCCTGCTGCTATGATCCAGATGCAGAACTCCACCAGCTGCACTGCAATTGGTTTTGTGCCTTTGCCAAAGCTCCCTTAATTCAGGTCTGCAGCACTCCCTTGTGCTTGTTATCAGTTTTGGGATTTCCTTAAACAGTTGTGCTTGGTTTTACAGCCTTGGAAAAAGCGTGCCTAATGTTGAACCTCTGCTCAGCTTTCCTGGCTGCGCATGCACTATACATTTAAAACATATTCTAAACACATTATTTCCCTCAAATAATTCTGGGCACTGTAGTTGGTTAAGCATTACCGGGATTGTAATCCTGCTTGCAGTAAATACATTGTCCAGAATTATTTGTGGGAATGAATGTGTTTTAAATGTGCTTTAAATGTATATAGTGTGTACACAGCCCCTAGTCTTGGCATGCAGTGTGTATAATGCTTCATTGCCACCCATTTCACCCCATTTTATCCCCCTTGCTATTTGAGCACCCTTAGCTGTTCAGTCCTTGCAAGTGCTGCATGTATTTGTCAGCCCAAGGCTTGTTCTGAAATTGGACAGAATGATAAGTGAGTTGGTCCACAACAGCCTTGTATTTAAGCACTTGCCTGGGAGCCATAGGTGATGAGACATGAAAGGCCACTGCCAGAACTGGATTGGCTGCTTCACTCCCATTATTTCACTTCCTTCCTGGTGCCCAACTATGTTTGTGATGTGGCTGGCAGTGTTAGGGTTGGTAGTGCACCTCCTCATTCCACAGATTAGCCCTAGTGAATAAAGTGAGATTTCAGTTTGCAATTATGTTCAGACTTATTTTATTCGGCTGGTTGGCCTATGTCTCTTCAGCATCCGTTGAGTCCATTGAAAAATGGTTTTAGGGAGAGCTGAGGGTAGCTCCAGAGACACCCTTCATTTGTTGGACTGCCGCTGTCTTTCAACTCCAGTTAGCATAGCCAAGTGGTCATTTATTATTAGAGTTGTAGTCCCAACACCAGCTGAAGTGCACCGTGTTGGCTACCTCTGACTCTTAGGAAATGTGTGGGTGGTTGTCTGCAGTACTGCATGCTCTTTCCTAATTTTCCAAGCATTAGAAACAACTCTTCTGTCATCACAGGATTTCTCCGTCTGTAGATCAGTGAAAGGTAGGCCTTTCTGTAGAAACAGAAGAATTGTGCTCAAACTACCATGCATGATTAGTGTGACGTCCTCATAAGCCCCAATTTAGGACCTGAAATTTTTTATCCAGTTCCCACATAATGGGTGGTGGTGTGAAGGAGTGGCCATTCTCTTGTTTTCACTTTTTTTGGTAAATGGGCTAGGGAGCACTGTAATTTGGCTTTGTACTGTAGAAGGACACTTTCCCATAATGGCATAAAAATAATAATCCTGAAATGATGGAGCAGTGAGGCCAGTGGAAAGGACATGTAAGGTTATGTGTGCTTTAGACTTTTAAAATATCAGCGCTGGAAGTGGAGTTTTAACACTGGGGTTGCACAGAATATGCACAGCTACCTTCAGCACACATTGTTCTTCAAAGCCAAGAATTACTTGTAAGGAAGGAAAGATGTGTCACTCATCCCAGACCCTGTGGGATAAGTCCAGCTTAAGATCCAGTCCAGCATCCTCGTCTCACAACCAAGTAGGGGTTTCCATAGGCATGAAAGCAATACTCATCTCCCACTCATGATCCCCAGCAGCTTGTATTCAGAGGCATACTGCCTCTGATACATGAGCTGATAAATATAATTATAATTATTTATGAATTTATGAATCACCTTTTGCATGTGTCTCAAGGTGCTTTATAGATAGAACATAAAAACAACTGATCATAGTTTTAAAACAGTACCCCAAACAACAAAAAATAGGTGTTCATTTTTTTTAAACCCAAGGCAAATAAATCTTTTCATCCCGCTAGAAGAGCTTGTTGAAACAACAAAATTCTTCAGTATTCTCCAGAAAAGAACAGAGCAAGGGGGCAGCCACCATGAAAGCCCTGCTCCAAGTTACTGTGGAACAGGCTTCTGATATTTTTGGAAGTTGGAGGCAAAACTCTGGTTCAGAATGCAGTTATCTACTGGATATATAAGGGATAAGGTGGTATTTCAAGTAACCTAGCCCTGAACTTTATATGTAAGTACCAAAACCTTAAACTTAGCCCAGTGATGGATTGGTAGTCAGTGCAAATCGTGCAAACAAGGTGCTATATAGTGAAGGTAGTTTGCTACCAGCAGCAGCCTAGCCACCACATTCTGCACTAGTTGCAGCCCCTTGACCAACCTCAAGGGTAATCATCATGACTGGTAGCCATTTCCTTATGAATTTGTCTAAAATTCATAATTTAAGGCCATCCAAGTTTGGTGACCATCAGTAATAACTTGTTTGAAGGCATTGCACAGGGCAACTACAGTACCAGTGACTTAGCTATTTGAGCAGCGGAACATGCAACAGTTTCCCTAGGTATGAAGCACAGTTCATTCGCTGGTGGGAAATTCAGTGTGTCCAGAAGGGCATCCTTTAAAGAAGACTGCTGGACACAGGGCAGTAAATGGACAACAACTGTGTACTAAACTGTTGTACTATAAGTATATTGTACAGAAGGAGCAACAGCGGGGAGGAAAGTACTGTACTGCTTCCAGTACACCATGGAACAGAATTTTCTTGTTTCTTGTAGGAAGGGAAGTTACCCAAAGCTTCTTGACAAGAGCTGTAGACTGTCATGGATCTATTTCTGAACTAGAGAACAGCAAAGGCTGAATGACAGAAGGGAAGCACTGTTAAATATGGTGAAAATCAGAACAGTTTTCATCTTGACATTGGAAGGCTTACATGGTGTACCAGAGCCTAGAAGTGCTGCAGGTCTTACTCAAATAGATGGGACTTGGCATTGATTTCAGGATTGCATTGTCCATTTGGTTGGTATTTGTACCATCTATTTTAAAAGGAAGCAGCATTTCCCTCTTCACTTGTATCAAAGCCTTTTCAACAGTTATTCATCACAGTGCAGCAAAACAGATTTATACTTCCTTTTGTCTGTGTAAGCCACTCTCTCAATGCCTATATCAGTAGCAAAAATAATTACATGTTCTCAGTTTTTTTTTGTCCAAGATTTTCTAATTATAAACCAATGCATTCAGAATGACGGCAGAATCAGCATGCCAGATCTAGGCTTCTGATGCATCTGTAGAGATTATCTAGATCTGTTCTCTGTTAAGCAGTGACAGTTTGGACAAATGGACACAACTGCTTGGAGAGTATGACACCATCTAGCTTTTAACAAATGTATGTACTGAGTAGTTAATGTATGGACTTTTTAAAAAAAATCTCCTTTGCCTCTTCCAGAGGAGTGGATGTGGGAAGCAGACATAAAAAAAACAACCTCCGTTCAAATACCATATCAGCTTTTTTTGTAATAATCTTATTTTTGAAACAAACTTTATTTATTTACTCATAGTATATGCTTGATATACATAGCCGTGACATATTCTTTCAAAAATATACAGTACAGTCCACGTGAAATGTTTCTGAGCAGGCCTCCTGGTGATCTTTATTTTCTCTGTTCACCTGTGGTTCTTTCTGCTGTGAATATCCCACCAAGGTTGTTCCCAGTCCTTACACCATCTCCCATTCTACAAAAAAAGTATGAAACTTGTTAGTTGTGGTTTGCGTGCTATGGCTTATTGAATCTACTGGGAATAAAACGACAAAAATTGACTTTGAATGGTCGATGACCCTTTTCTGTGGCACTTAATACCATTTTTATAACTTATTTTGAAAGGGACCACAATTAGCTTTGTTTTGATACCAAAACAAACCCAATTGGTTGAAAAATAAGTGAAACAGGAGGTTTTTTCAAAACTGACGCAGAAATTGCATTAGCCTAAATCGCGTGAAAATCAAAATTTTTAAAAAAATTCTCCTGAGCCAAATTTTGGACCAAAAAAATCTTTAAAAAATAATTTGAGGTTATCTCATAGGTATCTACACATAAACTTTTTTTTTGAAGAAAATCTGAGTCGTGAGAGCACATGACACCAGGAGATTTGATGTGGAATGATCCATATGTGAGAACTTGTTCAACATTGTGACTTTAATCTGGGATAGTGTTGAGTTGCAATTGACTAGACTTGTTGGGTGATCAGCTATGTCTACATTGAAAGCCACAATGTAGGAATGACAGCCTTTAATTTACTTTATGTATTGGCTGATACATGAGGCCAGCCAAAACGTACTATACATTGTCTGAGCTATAGAGTATTCCATCTCCCTTGCATTGCCTTTTCCTCACTGATTGGCAGAAAAGGTGATTACATTGTGCCCCAGTCCCTTTAGTGGTATAGAGTACAAATGTTCAAATCTTTGTAACACAGGGTACTGTTTGCAAGGTCTCTTGGAGGAGAGGTAAAATAGCTTGCATCCATATTATGCAACAGAAGTAGGGGTACTCAGCAGTTCGGGCTTGCAGTAGAATGAGTAGATGGCATATTCTTGGCTCCATGGTCCAAGTCTTAACCACTAGAGAACATTTTACATCTTATGGCAAATAAGCAATATTCCCCCTGGTACCCCTTAGGGGATATTTAGCGACTTTTTCTGGTGACTCATCTATTTGTCAGGATGCTACTATTATACTTTTTAAAATACAGTATTCAAGAGTGCTTGTAAACAGTTTCTTTCAAGGAGAATTGCACACACAACATATTTGGAGTTCATCGGAGTGATAAGCTAGCTTTCTTTGCTTTTAAATGCCTGCTCATGCCTTTGAAGAGCAATAAAGTTGTTGCGTTTGACATTTCTGTTGGCATTGTTGCTCCAAAGTATTTACGTACAGTGGAACCTCTACTTACAACCATAATCTGTTCCGGAGGTCCGGTCATTACTAGAAATGTACATAAGTAGAGGTACATTTTTCCATAGAAAGTAATGGAAAAGTGAATTGATCTGTTCTAGACAATGAAAAACACCCCCTAAAAAAGCAATTTAACATGGATTTTACTGTCTTAACGAGACCATAGATCCATAAAACGAAGGCAATAATCAATGTACTGTACTATAAAATAAATAAGACAGTATTGTAGATGAAAAAAATTAACATTTTTTTTTTCTTATGTGCACTGAGGGTGGGTGGGCTTACCTGGCTACAAGCTGGGGGTGGGGCAAGGGTCAGTAAAGAGCTGATTCAATTTGGCCGGGGTCACTTTTTTTCCCTTGCCAGGCCAGGTTCTTCTCTGGACTTCCTTGGGTTAGTTCCTTGGCGGGGTTTGGGGCTGCAGTGCGCCCTGCTGTGCCTCTTGCAGGCGGCACCTCTTCCACAGCTTTGGAGGTGGGATGGGGGCCCTCTCCCTGGCAGCAGAGGCCTCAGCGCTGCTCTGCAGCCGGCCGGGCGAGCTCCGGGCTGCTGGCAAGGCCTCTGTTCGTATCTAGCGGAAAGTTCATAAGTCAAAGCATCTACTGAAGGTCGTAACTGGAATCGTACGTAAGTAGAGCCGTACATAAGTCGAGGTTCCACTGTAGTAATTTGCTTTTGTAAATTGGAAAGTGGTAAATGTTTTCTTGAGAGCTCGTTTATAGGTAAGAACTATATATGAGTGAATGAACATAGCTGGTGTGGGCATCACCACTGGTGCTCATCATTGTGGCAATCTGAAAATGGGAACATCATGTTCTTACTTTCTGAGAAATACAGTTTCTTAGTTCTGTGCCAAAGACTATTGTTTTCTCATGATATGTTTTACTTTCAGTCAGTAGAGAAGAGTTGTCTACTGTGCTATTAAACACAATTTATGTTAAATACCTCAGAGCTGCTGGTGATCTCTCATATCTACTTTAGCTTTATATATTCCCCCCATGAAAATGTGATAGTACAAGCAAGCTGACCATTCTGGGGTGACCAATGTAACATTTATAAGCTTCTTTACATAATATTTTGTGTTTCAGCTAATAGTATTGAGCATCAATTACCATTAAACAGTTGGTTAGCTGCCTTGATCTTTTCTACAAAAATTATCAAGTAGTAGTTTAAATACAGTGGTGCCCCGCAAGACAAATGCCTCGCAAGACGAAAAACTCGCTAGATGAAAGGGTTTTGCGTTTTTTGAGCTTCTTCGCAAGACATATTTCCCTATGGGCTTGCTTCGCAAGACGAAAACGTCTTGCAAGTTTGTTTCCTTTTTCGTAAAACCATTAATACCCAGGGTGCATTGCTTGAAGAGGTGCAGTTGCGACTTGACTTCGAGGAGCAACTCATAGCACGCAGTGTGGTAGCCTTTTTTGAGGTTTTTGAAGACTTTGGTGATTTTTGAAGCTTTTCCAAAACTTCTTTTGCAGCCATTTGGTAAGTTAAACTTTTAAAACTTTTTTTGGGGGTTTTTGGATTTTGGGTTGGGGTGTTTGGAATTCAAGGGCTTGGTGTTGGGGAGGGGTTTGCAAGAATCTGGAAGCTTGTGTGTTTTTTTTCTGCATTTTTATGATTTTTTGTGACCATTGGGCCACTCTGCTGTTTGTTTGTTTTTTAAAAAATCTGGATTTGAATTTATGTGTGGTGGGTGGCTGGGGGAACAGTTGAGGAGGGGTTTGCAAGAATCTGGAAGCTTGTGTGGTTTTTTCCTGAATTTTTATGATTTTCTGTGACCATTGGGCCACTCTGCTGTTGTTTTTTTTAAAAAAAATCTGGATTTGAATTTCTGTGTGGTGGGTGGCTGGGGGAACTGTTGAGGAGGTGTTTGCAAGAATCTGGAAGCTTGTGTGGTTTTTTTCTGCATTTTTATGATTTTCTGTGACCATTGGGCCACTCTGCTGGTTTTTTTAAAAAAGAAAATCTGGATTTGAATTTCTGTGTGGTGGGTAGCTGGGGGAACAGTTGAGGAGGGGTTTGCAAGAATCTGGAAGCTAGTGTGGTTTTTCTCTCTGCATTTTTATGATTTTCTGTGACCATTGGGCCACTCTGCTGTTTTTTTAAAAAAATTCTGGATTTGAATTTCTGTGTGGTGGGTGTGACTTTAAAGAGCACTTAATAAACTCTTGTTGTACCAAATTTGGCTTTGTTTGGACTTTTTTTGACCATAGGAACGCATTAATTGAATTTCAATGCATTCCTATGGGATTTCGTGCTTCGCAAGACGAAAAATTCGCTAGACGAAAAAACTCGCGGAACGAATTAATTTTGTCTTGCGAGGCACCACTGTACTTCCTTTTTATTGTGTATTGAAATATGTAACTAATGTAACATTCTTGCAACCTCAATAACTTTTCTTGGATTTTGTTGAGGGGGGAAAGGCATGTGCTTTTGTAACAAATGTAACACACTCAAGCAGCATAGGTTTTACTGTCTGAATATGATTTTGCTCCTAACATCATCCATTAGTTCAGTTGGTTATAAAATGTAGTGGGTTTGATCCCCATACACGCCACCTGCATATTCCTGCATTGCAAGGGAATGGACTAGATGACCCTTGGGGTTCCTTCCAACTCCACAATTCTATGATTCTATAAAATTTATTGTCAGCAAAACTATAAGTACGCTAAAGGCTCATTAGCTTGTTCTCAGTTTTCTTGGAGAGGTCTTTAACTGCACTTTAGGGAAAAAAATCTGAGAAATTCTGGGTCATCTTGTATGTGACACTTCTTGCATGTGGTTGTTTTACTCACTTGTAAAATGCCATTTTGAAAAACAGTTGCCAATTAATGAAACGTGGGAAAATTATCTTTGAAATTATATAGAGCATGTTAACTACATATGAAAATGAAAATTGAGTCTATAGGTTGACATTTCTATGGAACTACCCAATACGACTTGATTAAAAAGGATCCCCAAGCAGTGTTCAAATAAAATTATAGGTAAAACACAACTAATACCTATAAATCAACTAAAAAGAATATACATAAAACTGTAATTAAAAACAAAGATAAAATATAGGTATTAAAGTGTGTGTGTGTGTGTGTGTGTGTGTGTGTACATGTTGAAAGGAATTTTGGGCTAGAATTCCCATATGTATACATTGGGCTTTGAAGACATGGGTGTGTGTGCTATGTGTTTGTTCCGGGAACTCTTGAACACTGCTATTTCTTTAATATATTTTATTATTTATACCACACCCATTCTGGGTGGCTTACAGCATATAGAAAAAATGGTAAAACATCAGACATTAACTATTTCTCGATATAGAGCTGCCTTCAGGTGTCTTCTAAAAGTCAGAAAGTTGTTTATTTCCTTGATATCTGATGGGAGGGCGATAGTTGTTTATTTCCTAGACATCCGATGGGAGGGCGTTCCACAGGGCAGGTGATACTACTGAGAAGACACTCTGCTTGGTTCCCTGTAACCTCATTTCTTCAGTGAGGGAACCACCAGAAGGCCATCGGAGCTGGATCTCAGTGTCCAGATTGAAAATGGGGATGGAGACGCTCCTTCACGTATACTGGGCCGAGGTTGTTTAGGACTTTAAAGGTAGGCACCAGTGCCTTGAGTTGTGCTCGGAAACATACTGAGAGCCAATGTAGGTCTCTTAGGACCAGTGTTATATGGTCTTGGTGGCCATTGCCAGTCACCAATCTAGCTGCCGCATTCTGGATTAGTTGTAGTTTCTGAGTTACCACATAGAGTGCATTGCAGTAGTCTAAGCGGGAGATAGCAGGAGCTTGCACCACTCTGGTGAGACAGTCCGTGGGCAGGTAGGGTCTCAGCCTGCATACCAGATGGAGCTGGTAGACAGCTGCCCTGGACACAGAGTAGTGTAATATGTATCCTAAAAATAAATAAATACTTAGGTTCTTGCTTTAAGCATTCATTTTCATTGGTCATTGACTTTTCAGTGTTGAGAGGAATTTAAATCCTTTTAAAATAATGGACAAAATGAAGAGATATTCTGAGCCCATCTAAATATGAAACAGTGCAATACTGGACATACATACTCAGAAACAAGCCACATTGAATTTGGTG